GCACTCTCCGGCACTCTACTGCACTTAACAACACTCAACGGCACTGTACGGCCTTCGATTAGGCTCGAAAACACTTGAAAAACGCGCGAAAACGATCGATGACGCTCGACAATGCTCGAAAAACGATCGATAACGCTCTAAAACGCTTGAAAAACGCTCGATATCGCTAGTAGGGAAATGTAAAAATCATACGCGAAATGACTCGGCTTACATCCACAGTTAAGTAAGCCTCGGGAGGATTTTTCGCAGTTTTCGACTCTCACGCATACTCGTCGAGTGTAGAACCGAACGCACACATACTCAACGTCTCGACCCGTAGTTTGGCGCTTGACTGGTTGGGACGCGCGAAGAATTCTAGGAGCAATCGCACTCACACAGATTCGCTGCATGAGAGTTCCGTACGCGACACCGACGTGTGCCCCAAATCTCCGCATCACGTCGACTTCGAGGCAACAATGTACTTAATAGTAGTGGATAAGTAGATAAAGTCAAATGGAGCGTCACGAGTGTTCTTCCCTTACCATCAAAAGCGAGCAGTGTCGGTAAGCGTAGGTAAACCACTACGGTCAATTGCCGCATGGTATTACCATTACGAGTACGTGAGCCGCCAACGGCGACTTGTAGATGGTACCGCCATCGCGAGTACGCGAGCTCCTATCAGAAATTCGTTGTGCCGCCCTTGGGGGCAAAAAACGGTGAAAGCTAACGTACGAAACCAGATGGCAGCACAGGTTGCGATCGCACGATCCTGCCCGTGAGCAATCTCCCAACTCATCTCTGTTTTCTAGTAATGGCGCTCGGAAAATGGCCGCGTGATTTAAATTTCGTTCTTGCTGTATGATAATGTTGCGATACAATGAATAAACACAACGGTCGATGCCGAAGCACTTTACAAAAAATTCGACAAACAGATATTAAAAGAGTATGATGTGGAGTTTAGCAAAATTCGATGCTGAATTTAAAATACTATTTGACTTAACTAAAAGTCTCGTGCAGAATATAGTTTACCAAAATTTAATTTATTCCTAGGACGGAATAAATTATAGATTTAATGTTAATCGAGATAAAAAAGCTTTTGACATTATAATTGCAATAGTCTTTTTAATTCACATATTTTCTGTTCTGCATTTTACTCTTACTAACATTTTATTAAAAAAAAAAGGAAACTAGATATTTACTAAATTATTTTCAAAAAACTCAAGAGAATGGTAGTCTGCTGTCGGGCGAAATATAAAAATAGATGAAAGTGAATAATAATTTTAAGAAAAACAAATTTTTATAAGATTCAAGTATGCACTAACTGGATACGCCGATTCTATTGTGTATGAAGATATTTAAAATACAAAGTTAAACAAACAAGACCATCTCGAGAAAGCGAATATCTGATAAATAAATCGGAATTACAATTCTTTCTCGTATCTTGGGAAATGTTTTTCAATAACTGAAAGAGTAAGTGTTCTTTTCGCGCTCCTTTTAACATCGGATCTAGCTGCAAGGCTCCCGTGGATTATTTATTTTATCCTTTCTTACATTCGATACAAAAAAGGAATAAGTCTTGCTCAAAAAGTGCTACGCATACAAATATTCGAAGTGTACCAGCAAGAAAAGCGAATGAAAAATATATTCACAACAGTCTGTAAGACAAGTGTACATTAATATGCAATTTTCCGACCGCCTTGTTCTGCAGTCCTCTGCCGCTTAAATGCTCTCTGCATTATAAATAGAATATTATGAGCACGAGCATAATAAACCTATATATACAGAAATATTCGAATAGCCAACTAAACAAAATACATAATTAATCACGCAAGCTCTTCTGTTTCGGGCATGAGTAAAACTGTTACGAACTACCGTTAGGGTGCAACAGGACAACAGGATCTTCAAGTATAATGTTAATATCACGCACTTACCAATGATATGCTTTATGAGTTTCTGTCTTTCAAGCAATCTCAATATTGAGACTTTCTTACCGAAATATTGCTATTTTTACAAATATCTGGTCAAGAATTGTAGTTTCCAACAAATATCCCTTATAGATTCACGATTAAGTTAACAATCAAAAGGATATGTATAAAATCAAATATTTCAATGAAGAGATAACAGTAATTAATATTCCAATTCTATTAAATTCAATTTAAATGTTGATCTTCAAGAAGAGTGTACAGCGAATATTCCAACAGCTTGTCGCTGAACATTTTCTCATGGGCAATACACTATAGAAAATATACTTTGACTTACAGAAATATAAACAAATAATGTTTTACTGCAATTAAATTACGAATGGACATAACAATTTACATGAACAAATAAAGCGAACTGAAAAAAAAAGAACTATACATACCCTGTTAACAAATGGTTTATTTGTAATTATTCTTGATTTTCCAGGAAATTCATTCCTGACTTTTCCCAATTGCAACCTCGTAGCAATCAGGATTTGTATTCAGTTCTTTGTATATTTCTAACCATTGTCGTTTAAACATGAAAGTATCTTCCGGAAATTTATCAAGCGAGAATGAACGTAGATCGTAGGCTTTCGCATTTTTTCGCATCCTTAAATCGGTCTGTAACTTCCAGGTGTCTTTTTTAATTTTCTATTACATTGGTCATATACTGTGGACGTTATGGACTTGCACTTTCAGAACTCCCTGATTTTTCAATCGTGATTAATTATGAGCGAAGATAATGTTAATGGTAAATCAATTATAATTTCTTGGATGGAATTGGTCATTATACGAAGCTAAGAGAAACGCTTTTATCAAGACTTAGGTCAAAGATACTTCATCTTTTGTCTGGCCTGAGTGATTGTTGAATATCAAAGGAGGGCATATGACATATGCTCACGGCACCCAGAAGTCACGGACGATTTCCTATAGTATTTACATAAATTAACATATCGTTTCAGTTGGACCATGTAATCGAACATTTTAATGGAGCGATACCATGGATAATTCGTAAGGTATTTTTATCTTTCATTGTGCTTTTGCATGGATTGTTATAAAAACCATCATGCCCTGGCGAATGTCTCAGAATAATCGTTGCAACAAAACAACGAATTGATGTTTATTAACGATAACGATCAAGCAATCCCTGTAATGACAATATAATGAAACTTGACCCTACGTTTATAATTGCTGAATCGTTATTATCCCATGCCAGCATATTGTAAGCGGTAAATGGTTTAATATCCAATGGGTACATATGTGTATGCGTGTCTTCGTTTCGATAACAATTGACCTCTTTGATGGAACGATGCTCATGTATGCATTATCACCCCATGATCTATTATCGACCCGTTAGCGTGTCTATTGTTGGAGTTTCCATTGTATTACTTACCAGTGCCTATATATGTATAATGTCACATGCAAATTTGTTTTCCCAATAAAAGTCGAATAACACATTAACAGTAGTTATTACTTGCTCTGTACTTGCTAATATGTTCTACGTATAACAATAATCATATTCCATTGCAAGGGTACATTCAGAATCGCGATTTAAAATGGCACCTACGAGAATTATTCAAGTCTTTAAATGACAACGGCGTATTATGTATTCGAGAAACACTGCGTAAAACATGTAAGTGTGGATATACTTTTTCAGGTATGTCCTTCCATCGTTACCATAATCGATGGTTTTCTGTCTAAATTTTAAAATCAATCACTAAATGGTGATTTGTAATTTTCCGATTAGTACAATATCAAGCCCCGAGAATTTACAGGAGCACATAGTCGCATATAGATTTAATATCAAAGATTCCTTATCCAAAGCATTATTCTTCGTTTCAAAATTTCATCCTACTACTTTGGGTAAAATAACAAAGGCATGATAAATAATCATGTTGATGAAACACTTCGATTCGATCACAGGAAACAACGTATGTTCGTCACAACTACAAGTAAATCTTACACATATTTGTGTAAGTGTTGTGTAGCTTGCACATCGAAGGAAGCACGGCATCGGTTGGGAAGCAAGATATCCAGTATTTCTAACGTACACATTTCGTTAACAAACCATTTTACACGCGTCCATATTTATGCACACGTGTCAAAAAGAAACACAATGTGAAACGCATTCGTCTAAGCATTCGCTTGAGCCTCATTCTTTTCTTCGTTACCGACTGACATATTTTATCGTGGACTAATATGCCGATCGGTGACCATCAATGTACATCGCTCCGAAATGTTCGTTAATTCTCCGATAGAGTACGTGGTTATTTACAAAATATTAATTTAAATGTTATTAAAAGATACAAATACCCTTCGGTTTCAGATGTCAGTTATACTCGATGACGGTTCATGACATAGACATTTTTGGACATCACGATCTCTCGAATTTCGAAGAAGTTTAAAATTTGGCCATTAATAGTAATGGAGACTGTTTCGATAACGGATTCGCTTAATGAAGCTGTGACACGCAATGAAAGATAGAAAAACATTTAATTACATTTAAACGGTTTATACGCGATGATTAGAGTAATTTAAAGCAGTCGCAGTGAGAATTTACTTTCCTAACCGCTTACAGTGTACTACCTATTCAATAGTTCGAGTCTATGGTTTTCGTTGCACATTCACGATTTGATCTCACTCGTCGTTCTTATGTGATAGCTTAACATCGATTATGCACTTTAAGTATGGGATTGATCGGTAGAAGAATTGGTTAGTAGCCGAGACTGTAATCAGTACTTGCAATACGTCTAAGTACAGACGACAGCCAGATCGTTTTCATTCTATTAAAAATATACAATATTAAGCAATTTTTCAGTCTAAGATATTGCATTGATGCTGATATGAGATTTATGGTATTCCCTGTTCTTTCTCTTTTCGTTAACTAAATCCTTATTTAACTGATCGGACGTTTCGGCTACCACCGAAACCTCTAAGGCCGATTCCGAAATCTGTTTACCTACTATAAATTTATGATAAACATTAATATACCCGTGTGAGATAAAATAGTACCCTTGAACGAAGGAAGAACAGAAAGAAATATGTGGAAATGCAATAAAATCAATTTGAACTTAAATGTCTTTCGTTTAATATTTAATTAAATAAAAATAATATAAAGGTCTTGGTCACACATTTATGCTAAAACGTAATATTGGCATCACAATAATTGCATAAATTTAAAATCTATTATCTCGAAGTCATATGTGAAGTTGATTAGCGACGGAGTACATCTACATTTAGTTTTCCCGATAGTCAATACTATTTTACGATAGTACAAGAAACGCTTGGTATCGTTCAAATATTTACAACATTAATAGACTTTACCTTAACCCTATATTAGATAATTTTATACACGCACTAACTATGGAACTTAAAGCGAATTCGGTAACACGCACACTAATCATTACTTGAACCATGGCAAACGATTTAAGAGCCGTTCTGCACTTGGGTAACCTTACAATACGTTGAATGGTTTCAATTTTACCAAATTTCAAACAGTTTTCAATGCCGTTTACGGATACTTCTCGAATCGGTCAATAAAAATAAATTAAACATATCGGCGAAAAATAAGATAACCCTATTTGTAATGACACGTAGCGGATACACATAACTACTTCAGGTGGTTCTTAAAAACTTTTCTGCAAATCTGACAATACTGTAGATGTGGCACTAGAAAACTGACGTATTGTTTGTACGTCTCTATGGATGAAACAGTACTACCGTTATCCAGTATTTAACTTTCTTTTTTTCGTATGTGTATCACTCAAGTTGATCTACCGAAGCAGTATTGCTAAAATGTGCATGATACTAGAAGTACTGAGAGTGATACGTCTCTCCGTTCCTGGCTAGAATATGAAGCTTTGTATGTATAGTATTGGTGTTAGTATTTTATACTAGCCAGTGTGGCAGCTCTATATTTTACTGGTAATCGGACGCATGAATAATCAGTTATTATGATGAACTTAATATATACCGCGTAATTTCCACATTATTACAGATATACCAAACATCAGTGAAACAGAGGCTCTTATACATTTTTACGGATTATTCAAAGTTACAATAGCTTAGGCCTTTTTACGTATTTATATATTGCATTCCATTCGTGCAACTTTGGTAAATTTATAGATGATTTCATAACAATTTTCAGTAATACAATGACTTAACATATTTAACAATGGACAGAGTGAAACATACACCAACGAAATCATTAGTCCAATTACTTCACTGATATAAGACATATCTGTTAGATTAAGCCTACTATCCTTGGGTCTAGTGATATTTATTACCGCGACGATTTAAAAGACGAAATTGACACGTTCGAACAATATCAGAAACGTTGAATCCGAGAGAAGTTCATGATCATTGGGTGCATTCAGAGGAGACAACTGTTGAGTTGTTAGGTTAGCGCTCGTCTGCTGAATGGGTACTAAATGGGTAATTTCCTTATTGTTAGCTTGAGAAACGTAACAGTACGTTCACTCAACATGTTTACTAATCAGACCAATCAGATCGCATTTTCAGCAGAAATCGCAACATGTTCCTTACTCATCGGTAACCGCTTTTCTCCTCTGAATGCACCCATTAGCGTACAGATCAGCCGAATTTTTTTTTACAGTAACGTGAGAAATAAAATAACGCCCCCAACAAAGTCGAGGGCTGAACTTTTCAGAACTCTCGATAGCGACTCTGAGCGTCAGTTATGAATGCAGCTTTAAAATTGTTGTACCGTAGTCCCTATGTAGCGAATCGTCTTAAGCTGAAAGCTTGGATAACTATTAACAAGTTTCCAACAAAAATGTCTTCTACAATCATATACAATAGTATATGTAACAGTTGCTCTCAGTCGTACCATGTGTCCCGCGCTGTGCATCGTTGAGGCAATCGACGCGAGACTACGATGGCTCTACATTAATCAACGTAATTGGTGTTCTTCCTTGTGTAATCAACAGTTGACTGTTGACTATCAAAACGTTTCTATCTACGTAAAGCTAGACGGTGGACGTCCATGTATATCTAAATAATTTAAAAAAAGATCGGACAACTACTCATTTACATGTGTCGTTTATAAAACGAAAATAAATAAACTGTACATCAATACGCACGGAGTTGGTAAGTGTGTGTGCAGCGTTTTACGTCAGCACTACTCTAAGCTCTACTGCAGATCTAATTAAGTATCGTGTCGCGTAGATCCGAAATAGACGTGATTATCATGTAGTGATATACGTGAGGTGGACTCAAGCGAGAACCATTGATTTGACCCTACTTTTTATTAACTATTCATCGTCAATCACGCGAACGATATTTCGACGCTCCAAGTATGCAAGAAATTTAGATAACGCGTGCACTACGCTACTTTGTAATGTGAACCTTAGATTCTGTTAGTTGGTACAATTTACATGGAACAACCTCACGGAGGTCGCGAAAGTGGAATAAACTGCACCTGTCTTCACCCTTTCATCGCTTCCGGAACGAAATTCGAATTTCGCAGTAACACGAATAACTAAATTATTTAATTGGGGATCATCGGATATCACCTCGCTTTTCCCATTTCGAAACACAGGCAGTGAAAGGGTTAATCGTGCTCTAGTTCTGCGTTTGTGGTTTTTTACCGCCACGTGGTTTTATACTTTCTGATATCTGCCACATAGCCTCTTCGCAGAGGAAGTCACTAAAGTTGTTGAAAAAAGTTATAATTCGCTCGTTTTTTTTGAACGAGTATGTGCTGCGAAAAAGACAACTTATTAGAAAAAGAGCAAAGTATACGTAATTTTAAATGGCGACATATAATTGATAAATCCCTTACCCTTTTTTAAATCTCTTCATGTTCTCAACAATATTAAATTGTTGCCATCGTTTGGAAAAATTTATACTACCATCTGGAAGTAAATCACTGTTTCCAATGTGCACAAAAGTTAAATCTTGTAGCACCAATCCGCTAAAAAAATAAACGTTTTGTTAGCGGATTCATGTAAATAACAAGTGCTACATTATGAGCAAAATCCCACTTACATGTAAGGAATACAAGGAGGTTGCGTTTCTGCCAATGCTTGTCTGTAAGCCCTAAAACTGCTGGAACTGTCTATTAGGGCACAGTACTCTTTCAGACCTTCTGTGATGTGCTTTTGCCACTCAAGTCTTCTGATTGGCGCGCTGTCCAATGCGGAAAGTAAAGCCAAATAACTATTAAAATTATTAATTTTTCTGAGATGTTTCATTATTTTTATGAACTTGACTACGTATTTCTCCCTATCTTTCGCCTCGTTTTCTAAACGATGTTCTAGTATCCTCGACCTAGCCCAGTAAGACATTTTATTGAAGTGTTCCGTAAACCTAGTCAGATTTGGACTCCTCTCTTCATTCTGTTCTTGAGCCCATATTAACACTTCTGGTATTTCGATCTTCATAAAAAGGTCCGCATCCAATAAAGTCATTTGCTCGGCTATTTGTTCACTCTTAAAATCTAACAGTGATGCTTGCTTCGTGGATACACTTAACGATGAGAGTATCGGCTGAACTGCTTGTTGCTGTTTCATGGCATGCTTCTCCAAAATCTTTACTCTCAGAGCCTTAGCCATCGTGAGATAGCCACTGCAAACCAGTTGCTGAACAAACTCCATCAATGTTTGAAGAAGCACATCATCTAAATCCGACATCCTGTGCATTAAATTAAAATCGATTAATTGTAAATAAAAATAGAATTTTGTTAAATAATTTAATATCTTATTTTCAAGGTATTATAATGTTTTGGACCTGCGTCAGTAAGAAAAATATCGGTTTAAGCAAAAGAAACAGCGTTCCGAAGGGAACTCAATCTTTGGAATTTAAAGATATAAGAGGATAATATCTATACGTATAATTTTAAGAAATATAACTGAAATAGTTATTAAACATTCCTTGAAAGAAAGCTTACGTCAAATCACTGACAGCTCTGACCAGCAGAGAGAATGCTTCTCGCGCTGCCCGTTGTTTCACTACATCCGGGGAACACGAAAATCGCTGATGTCGTCTGTGCAACTTTTGAATAAGTTCAAGCGGCGACATGAATGTTCTGTACGTCGTCAGGAATGCTTCCTGATACAGGAAATCTATCAATAAACATTATTTTCATTACAATTGACATTCACAATTATTGAACTATAACTTAGAATGGGTTTATTGAATATATCACGTGCCTTCAAAGATAGAAGCGACTAAAATAAGATTTCAAGTTCTTCTGTGGCACATAATGCAAAAATTAACATTAACGCGCATTTAATTAAACAAAAAAATTCGTCGCATTAAATAGTACAGCTTTACCTGATTCCTTTTCATCTGATATTGCAATGTGAAAAAAAAAATGAACGGAAATTAATGAAACACATATTTCTGCCGCTAAACTAAGGATAATTGATCGTTAACAAAATTACCGTGTTTATTTGCTTTTGTGGCATGAATTAGCAATGCATCTGGATGACCTCCTCGAATGTCAGGTCCGTCTTCGTCAGGTTTCTTAAATACCAAGTATTTACTAATATCTAGCTCATCCAAAATACTATCGTCTTGATCCACGTCGTGTAATTCGAGAGTGTTTTCATCGACGGATGTCGTTGACAATGCATTGCTTGCAGGCCTTGAGGATGGTAATGTGATGTCCAGACTAGTGTTACTACTCTAAAAGTAAATTGTATGTCAATATAAATTTATATTAGAGTATATACGTGGCTAGCTACCATAGGGCTCCTATAATGAACATGCACGCACCAATTTCGCCGGTGTAGAAGGTATAGGTTCTGTCTTTTCTGTACTAGTGGCAGACTGTTCCGCCTTTACAGGGGTTGATGAAACAACTGAATCCGATGTATGTATACTCTGGGTATTGAAGATCGGCTTCGGTGAAATTGGTGGTGGTGTAGTATTTGACCTGATGGAGCGAGACCTCTTTGGTGGTAACGCAGGTGGTAGACTAGAGTTGTTGGTGATTTCCCTTAATGCAGACCCCATGGCAGTAGAGCTGCTACAAAAATAACAATCATGTAGATAATGACAGATTCAACTAATGAATCCCTATACAGCTGTGTTGCTATTCAATATCAAATTTCCGGTATAAGATTGATATATTCCCTTGACCATATTTTTCTCAGTATTATCAAAAATATTTTTCCTAAGAACATTAGTGACTAACGTTAGTTTAAAAAAAAATAGAATGAAAATTGGAGAAATATAAAGCTGTTAAAATACCTCAGACAAGCGATGAATATTGACCGCTTTTTCTATATTTTTCTTAAGCGTTCAAATATAATTTCTCTTTTAATCAAATAAAAGATGCAAGTTTTTGTGTAATTTGTTAAGTGCATAACTCTTTCGTGTTTGGCGTCGGAGTAGCGTCAATTAAAACATCCTTGATGATATTTTATCAGTACATGGCTAAGTAATACATCTCGCAGATAGTATAAATTAGTAACCGTTCTTAATAACGTAACCTTACCCTGAACTATCATGCACAGTTGTCAAGGTATGTGCCATAAAAGAACACGATTGGGTTGTGGTAAGTGCCATTTCATGTTGCTGCCATTCTGCCTGCATTGAGTTATACGCGGCAACGGAATGTCGAGTGCCCAATCCAGCAATGAAATCATTGTTACTATGCGAACAGTTCCCGAACATCTCCATGTACGCCATGACTGAAAAATATCCAAAATTCTAGATAAAAAGTGGAGTTCCACTTTAGTCAGTGACAATTTATTATTATGACCGAGGATTTGGCTATTAAAAGAAAAAAGAGTAACGATAAATTACGCATCTAAAACAAATGTGATATACATTGACGAATACAAGCGTTGATGTGTACAACCCCCCAGTGAAAAATTTGCACAACTAAACATTTCTGATAAAAAATGAATACGATATATAAACATATATCTTATTAATTTTTACACAAGTGCTTAAAGTATACAAGCTTTTGACACCTACAGTAATTGACACTTAATAAACATACATTCTAAATATTAGTAACATGTATGTTAATTACAGTAAACGTTACAGCAAGTGATCTAAGAAATTTACAGTTTGTTCACTTTCTTCATTTTTTGTAGCTTGAGATAAGACCAGCAAAATCGCCGTTTAAAGCAAGGCAGAAAATATCCACAATGAGTGCCGTATTTCTTTTAGTTTAGGGACACTAGAATCCAAAGTGGACACTCGTAGTAAATCATTTTCTTCATCCACGTTGTTTCTTAATTTGCTAATAGAGATGCAGTATATTATAAATAGCACAATCTTTTAGTCTTCTAGCGATCAAGGAGGATGGGTTTGTATTAAACCATCAGTTTAACAGCTATCATTGACGATTTTTCAATTCATCTATGGTTATTATGTTGTAATCGTGCAGTTACACCATTGTTAACGTGACTTACTGAAGAAATAAAACTCAGACGATTTTATATTTTATCAGTTCACAAAATTAATTAACATTTTTAAGAATATAAGCCGATACTTTGTAAACGTTACAAATGCCTTGTCGATTCACTAAGAACTTTTCTCTTCACCAAGCCGATTAACTTACCGCAGCGCGTATGAAATCGTAGGAAAAGCATCTCCTTATTGCAATGACACGATTGGATACGTAATAGATACAATAGTAAACAGTATAAAAACTGCGAATATCACTTCACGACATTATGGAAAGTAAGATTCACGGAAAACATTGTTCTACCCTGGTAGCGTTAGAAGCAATGCGAGAACGAAAACTGAGTCATGAGTATAAAACGGTAAGAAATTCTAGATACTAAAACTTGCTAGCCGCGTAAAGGTCAATTGAATCAGGAAAACGATAGTTACTAACACTTGAGCTGTTAATGAGTCTTTTTACAGAAATAAATACCATTCGTCGTAAAAAGAAGGTTACGTGAGTATATTTCAACGACGCAACAAGGTTACCAGATCGGTGGACCATTGCAAAAATTAGACGAATGAACTTCGTTAGAATTTAACATTTATATAAAGTTCTGTAGCATGTAAATTTTCAAACACAAACTAAGAAAATATTGTAGAAATAATCTTAAGTACGTATAAAAAAAAATATAAAACATGCTTTTTATATTAAAAATGTGCTATTTTTCATATTTCTCGTATCGATTTTTTTGGCAGAAATTATTACATTTATTAGTGTTCATTCTTTTGTAAGAAAGGATATCCTGCATATCTTCTACGGTGTAGTAACTGTTTATATACATATAAGCTTTTTATTAAAGCGCAACGGTGGATTGCTTGGGATTGACAACAATAATTATGTAACTATTGACGCTCAAACCGTTCAATGAAACGATATTGAATCGAATTTACTAAGCCAATGCTTAAGAAAATTTGTAAATTTTAATACTTCCTGAGACCAAGTATTGTTATGAATGAATAAGTTGTATAAAGCAATACGGTACAAGTCGACTTTAATCTCGTATTGATTTTCCGTCACAAAGCTGAAGCCTGAAATAACGATTCCACAGCCACCGAACGAAGTTTGATCGACGTAAGCAATGGAAAAGCTGACAGTATTAATGAAAAGTCCAAGCTCAAGACCAATCAAAACGATATGGCAAATAAGCCTATATTGAATTAAAGGAAAGAGAGAAGGAACTGAAAGGACAGCAAACATGCTGCGCGAAGCCTGAAAAATGTGATGAATAAACATTATAAAGGTGACCAGTGACATAGGATGCCGACTTAGCGTGAGGGTGATTTTGCAGAAGGTGGTTGTGGATTCGTGTGGGCGTGATCCCACTTACCAGAATATGCCACTGATTGGAACACTGGGGGATACAAAATATTGTGTCAGTTTCATTCTATTGTTACAACAAAATTTGAATACCTAAACTACTTTCATCCATTAAGTGTGAATTTACTACACTGCTCGTTATCAAATGTAACTTATATTTACATGTGCTTTTTATAAAATCTCTAAATTAACTGATAAATTGTATAGAGGCTCAAGTATTGATAGTTAACCTAAGTACTGGCAACAGTTAAGTTAGACCGCAGGTTGCAGGCGTTCTAGAGAATGTGAAGTCAGCACCAAACATGTTAAAACTTGAACGTTATCAAAACTCTTTACTAAGCCAATCTCAACACTTACTATGCCTCTTCTTTACTGGTAGTGGCGGGGGCTTGCTGGCATCCGGACTATCGCCGTTGCTGGTATGTAAACTACAGGTTGACAAATGCTCATTCTCGGGTACATTGTCATATTGCGAGGGTTGCCTTTCCTTTCTTCGTTTAGATCTTTTTTCTGGCAATGCTGGCGGCATCCCGTTGGCATCCGATGGAGAGAGGCCTTCAATTTCCTATAAAAAAGTGATATTGAACATTTTCTTTACAATTAAAATCTAAAATCGTACACATTTACAGTTCTACATAAAACTGGACGCGACTTACATGCTAAGTATAAACGTAAATAAAGTCAAATATAAAGCTTTAATAATAAATTATTGATACATTAATGGAGCTATATAGAAGCAAAACAATTTTAGATTTAGTAAACGAGTAGAAAATAAATGTAAACCACACAACACATTAAACACCCACATTTACCAGTTTCTCCAACAATGCTGGATCACCGCTGCCGCTTACACTTGAACTACTGACAGTGCTCTTGGAGCTTGTTACTATTCTATGTGAGAAAACTGAACCGTTACTGTCAGTCAACTGCTTCTGCTGAGAAAACGACTGTTGTTGTGAACTAAATGACTGAGAATTATAACTGATGCTGCTCTGCTGCGACGATCTCTTGGACGTAATGCTGGAAGCGGTTGTGTAGCTCTGAGATGAACTTCTCTGCGAGTGCATGGACACAAAACCTGATTCTTGAGTTTGTGTCGACAGCCTCTCCATTTTGCCATCGATGCCTGTAAAGTCAATATCATCTAATTGTAACAGCACGTTGTACTTTAAGTGAATTTACCGAGATATTACAAAGAAACGTTTTAATGTTTTCCCATGCAGAAGTCGGCCTGAACGTCATAATGGCTCCTGGTTAAAGAACTTCTACCCCAAGAACTTATGAGCAGTTGCTACTTCTCCGAATGAAGAGTTCCGAAAGACTGACCCATTCGTGTTGCTATCTGGCCTGCCGCCCACACGAAGGCCTACACAGCGACTATTTAAAAGACCTTGCGCAATTTGAGTTAGTCGATTTTTGTCATTCTACTTCCAAAATATAAATACATTTACGGAACTTTGATAGACCTAGAATTCATTGGAAATATCACGATTTCCTTTCGTTAAGTTGACCAAGAAATGTAAGCTCTGTTTAAGGCGTTTTTGTAGTTTGCGTGTCGCTTGAAAACAAATTTGATACCGAATATATAGTAAATACCTGCAAGTGGACTGAGTATTTCCTGTGGTGTTTGTTGTCCAAGCAACATCGTATTCGGTAAACTCGTCTCAGAATTGTCCCAGCATCCACAGTTCGATGTGCCGTTAACTTGCATACCTGAAGCCACAAAGAATAAAAGAAATCACCAAATCTATACAACAGAAACCTATGATTATATAGTTACGCGTGGGCCCGCGTATTAATTCTTTACCGCTACAGCGTAAAGTCAAGGTAAAAGTGATATACCCAAACATATATTTTCCAATTCCACGCGTAAATCATCCAAATTCCTATGAAGATTGCGCGAGCCAGGTCTTCTATTCATCTTCTACGGATTTCAATGTCAACGATAACCCGTCCTCAAGAAGATACGAGAGAACCTCACAACAGAAGGGACAACTTTCACTTTTTCCCCGAATCGGACGAAAGTCTCGACCGAACTAGCAAATCGACCTGCACGGACAGAAAGAACGCGCTGCGCTGACTAAGCCATCCCGACCATATGACATCCTTGTAGCGCATTGGGAAAGTACCGTGTAGGATCCCCTCTCGGTGGGATTTCAGTAAACGGTTTCTCACACGGACTTAACACTCCCGTTTCGCTTGGAAGATGTCGCTCGAACGTGGTCATCGATGTGAATTCGCCAACACGTTGGAGCGCCCGACGAATACATCTAACGCCAGGCCCTCGGAATTACCTTAACAAGTCCGCCTACGATTGCTCGTTTATTTCAAGCGTAACTGCATTCTTGTAAACGCACAACGGCCCGGTTTCTCGATCAACGGTCGATCACAATCGGTCTGGCCCACGTACGAGTTTTTGTCGCCGCGCAACGGAGCTGAGTCGCTCACCTTGAATGGTGGCTCGAAGGCTGAGGTCCATACTGTCGTTCAAGGACTCGTCGTTCGGTCCCATGATGGCTCGAATCTCGTCCTCATCCCTCGAGTGATTCAAGGCCGAATCTAAGCTGCCTGCCGAGGCACTTAGAAGGGACGAGGAGTCCTCCGGGGATCGACTTCGCAGGGACACTCTGTCCAGACTAGACGTCAATAGACCTTCGGACTCGTCGAGCAGTTGTTGGGCTCGCGTTCGTCTTTTTGGCGGCAAAGGTGGCGGCGTACCCGATGAGCTGTTCCCCTCCGATAAATGCACGTTCGTCCTATAGATATATAATTTCCTCGTTTTAATCCGTGTAACTTGTAGAAAAACGTTTTCAGATTCAGTTTCGAACATTCACCTATCGGGAAGAGGAGGCTTAGGTGGCGGACTAGAATCTCTCAGGATAGACTCGGAGCTGTGAGAACTGCGGACCAAACTGCTTGTCGTCGCTGTTTCCTCAAGGATTTGTCTTTCTCTTGGAGTTAGTGGAATATCAGGAAGGGAGTTTCTCTGCGGTGGGAGATCCGGCCCGTATCCCGAACTCCTGAAATGATTACAAGAAGCCTATTATAATTTTCTATTTCTGTACAATTTCTGTAGAAATGCAAAGTCGTTTTGAAATAACATGTAAATTGTCAATTACGTAATACATGGGACACTAGAGCAGCATAATTGTTATCGAAGCGTTAAGTTTTGCCAAATCATGTCTAACTTCTCGAAGATTAAGAAAGGTTTTGCTCTCGAATTTAAATCGCATGCTAATTGATTATAAAAATAATAATATTCACACGTCAGGAGAATGGAAAGATTTCCTTACGTACCTGTTATTTGCTGTTATCGACGGAGGCTTTTGTCTGTTGGAGATCTTTTCATGGGCAAGTGCTACAAGATTCTTCACCGCCTCTTCCACTAATCCGATTACGTGCGTCACGTTTTCCGTATCCAGTGCAGACGATTGATCACCGTGTAGGAGCACGTCGTCACAGAGTTTCAGCAACTGAGCCAATGCCTGGTAGACTTGATTCGTGGCTGATCCTAACGTTGAGCTGATAAAATTTTACCAATCAATTCAATTGCTCATTAATTCAACGGACTAAAACTAAATATATCGACGTAATTACGAAGAACGACATTTTCGAAACAACTTCAGTTCCGCCACCCAACCACAACACCGTTAATTTTATTTTATGCAAATATATGCACCTATTGTTCAATACAAACCGCCTGCGCGTATACCTTATCTACCTTCTCAAAAGATACATTTCATTAAACGCGGATGTCATTTAATGTTTAAAGTTAAATGGTGAGGACCACAAACGAACAAGAAATATATGTCCAAACGTCGTAATAGAATAAAAGTAAACGAAAATAGTGTTACAAAGTGGTTCTTATCGATTGAAAACAATTATACCTATTTTCGTAGAGGAGGTACGACTTGAGCACGGTGTGTATGGTGGTGACGGTGTCCAGGACTATCGTGCCATTTCCGGGCAGCATCTCCAGGATCTTCTTCGACACGACGTCCCGGAAATGCAGGAGTGCCAACTGCACCTGGCGAACGTGGATGTGGAGGTCTCGTAGGGGGTTCTTATCGAGAACATCCCCGGGAGCATTTTTCTCGCGAGGAGTTCTCGGGGAGGAGGGCGATGCCGCGCGCATCGCGACGCCGCTTCCTCCGCCGCCAGCTCCGACGCCTCCACCTGCCCCGCCTCCGCCGCCCCCGCCGCTCCCACCCGGAGAACGCATCTGCGAGAGCTTCTCCAGGAAGTCTTCCTTAAAAGACCGGGCACGCCGTGCGAGCTTGCCACCCCGCGCCTTGCCTCCGCTCCGTTCCTCGATTTCTGAAAAAATTTCCAAACTTTCGGTATCCTACATATTCGAGCTAATTTTCCAAAATAATAATATGGAGCAGAGCGTAATAACGAAGTATTCAACGGGCTCGTCCAATTGCCGAGGTCTATCAGTCATTTATAAATAATTTCAATCAAAGTGGCCGCCGATTTTCGACCTAAACAACATTTGCGCGTGCACACTTCGGCCATCTGCGATTTTCCTACCTAGGACTTGTTCACTTTCATTTTCGTCCTTCCCTGTTTACTTTTAAGCCAGCTAGCATTTGTCGCGAGCTGCAGGATTGCCAGATCGGCCACGGTCTATGAGCGTCTAAAAGTTGCACTTCTCTATCGGAATTTGCAAAAAATGTCACGCGCACCTTGCTGATATGCCGACATTTATAACACGTATAAGATTTGCAGCACCCACGCTGCGTCGAATTAAAACCTTCATGCCTATCCTAGAAATGCCTAATTTCACTCCTAGATGCGCAATATACTACTCCGAGATTCATATTTTGTATTACTTTCGCCAACAGGCCTAAGCGGCCGATTACCTAATGGACTGGGTTTTTCAAAATGTATACGGAATATTTTATAATCGGATATCAATTCCCGTGCAATCGCTACGGCAAAATATCGTCAGCCACCAGTCGTTAATAAATCTCCTTGAATAATGCTTGCAGGTAGGTAACCGAGTATTATTCAAATTGGTACATTAACCGAAATGAAATTAACGAGCCGGATCGCCGGCGTGATGCCCGCGGAAGTCACGAGGCTTCCCCGATAAAACTATAACCCGGATGGAGAATTTGCTCCTTCCATCAAATTTCACGGAGCTCGAATACGACGGACTCGAGGAACGTGCCACCGTGGCATCGAGACCGGTATTCACGGAAACCCGCTGCGGTGCTCTTCTGGATATTAATAAATGGAAGAATCGCGTGCCGCGCGCCCGGAGAATTCCAAAGCGACGGCGGCCGTCGTCGTCTCCGTAATCGAATATCGGTCGACTCCCTCCTTTTGGGAAAGGGAGGGCGCGCGAAGGGGTTCTCGTTGCATGCGGCCCGTCAGGGCGCGCCACTGCGTCCCGGAGAATTGTCCGATACCCCGTCGCGTTTCGAATAATCGAAATGGCGCGGATATATCGGGGCATTTCGTTGTTTTCCGTCTGGCAGCCGCGCTCCGCAAATAGCTGCGCGTCGGAGTATGTGGCCATTGCGAATCCCCAAACCCCTGGCAGCGAGCAACCCCGAAGACACGCGTGACGCACGGTGTGACTTGCCTCGAGGCGCCGCCATTATTCGAATTCTGGAAGCGCGGAAAACCTAGACGGCGATCACGCGATGTAACGTGAGAAACGCCACGGCTTAAGTAACAAGGTGACACCTTCCTATCTCTCGATTATACGCTTTTTTATATCTTTTTTTTTTTAAAGGAAGCATCCGAGAAGGAGGCATTCTAATATTTCGGGGAAAAAAGTCGATATCTTTTTTGTATCTTACATCTTGAAAGAATTAATCCTTTCTTATCATTTGTTATGTGGAGGACAGGTAGAAGAGTATTTCAAGTGGGGCTTAAAAATTCATAGGCAGAAGATTCGTTGTGTAGTTTTTCGACTGCTTTTTAAATTATCAAACCAAACCAATCCATTTGAATCACGTAAATTAATCCTCTCTATAAAATACAGTATCAATATTTGCCACGGTTCAGCGAATTTCAATACCGTTCTCTCTAGAGGATTAATATATCGCAATGAATTGCATTCCCGTTTAAATGCGTCGAAGCAACATTTAATATCAGACAGAAAATTAATGATTGGACAAAAAGTTATATAAACCGCAGTCTTCCGATATCAAATAAAACATCTGGTTTATCGAGAAGCAACGGACCAGCGACAGAACGCAAAATTTCATTTCTCTCCTTTTACTCAATGCTCTACTTTCATTAAAGTACAGGTATAAAACAAATCTAGTCAAAAAGTGGTACCAATCAAGGCACCAAGGGCTTTCACTTTAAATCTTCCTGATTAGGCTTTTTATTACCCTATACCTAGCCATTCCTGGAAATCAGTTCGATCACGTCCGCGGCAAATGAAGCTCAACCTACGTAATTGTTTGTCACGTTGAGCTTTCACGTTGTTTTGCATCGTGTACGGGGTACAAGCGACTCTCGTTATCGTATGGCATGCATTTATACGTCAACGTGATTCGCACGTGACGTCAAATATTGCATCCCCTCTAGATACTTTAGGAACAAACACAGCTACGCCAATTTCCTGTCGGGGCCAGAGCGATCTCGTGACGCAGGAGGCGAATTCGGAGCTCGATTTTACAGTTGCAAGATGACGTGGTGCGCGGTTTAATATCAATTAAACGCTTGTTTCCCCAGCTTCGGTGGAAACAGCTTCGAGGACAACTCCGTGTCTGTGTGGGTAGTTGCTATTGGGTGGCATCCAATTAACGACTTTTTAATTACTCCGAATTGGAGTGCGTCGCTCCCGTGCGAGCCGTGGCGAGATTCAATCTGCCGTAGTTCGATGCACCGTTTCTATAAAAGTACATCCCCTCGTGCTGCATCAGCAAAAGCAATTTTTACTCATGCATTATGATTGATCCAACCTATTGTCCACGTTGTTTGATCGAGGTATTGAAAATATTCATGGTAAGTTACATCGCATTTTGGACAGAACGTTACATTGAACTCGAATAACTTAATACTTTATGGAAAAGAGTTATTAAACGCGAATATATATATTATTTGAAGTTAATGCAAGAACGAGTGCACCGGTAACTATTAAATTCTAGTTTCTTATAAGTATAATATTAATTCTTTCAAAGTCTTTCACGCGTTGAAGTAAATCAACTTTTCATTCTAATGCAGTAGTGAAGCTGAGCTTAAGAAAATTGAGTATTGTTGGTAGTTTGATTTAATTTCAGTCGATCTTATTTTGTTAATAGTAGCCAATAAAGGTGTAATCTGTACAAGAATTTCTTGTTTCTTAGGAAGTCATTTTTTTCGCTCAGTGTAAGGCTTAGTTTACACCGATCACTTAATACGCGTACTATAGGATGTCTGTACAGTAGGCACCCCCACAATTTCTACCTCTTCTCTCTTGGCGCTTATACGATCGGGGGTAGTTTTGGAGTGATAGGGGTGGTGTTTCGGATTCGGCTCTTGGATATATCTGGAGCACTAATATAGTACCAAAATAATTCGAGAAGAGAACATGCGAATTGTTATTATTTCTACCTCTTCTCTCTTGGCGCTTATACGATCGATTGTAGTTTTGTGGTGAAAGGGGTGGTGTTTCGGATTCGGCTCTTGGATATATCTGGAGCACCAAAATAGCACCAAAATAATTCGTGAAGGGAACATGCAAAATGTTATTATTTCTACCTCTTCTCTCTTGGCGCTTATACGATCGGGGGTAGGTGTTTCGGATTCGACTCTTGGATATTTCTAGAGCACTAAAAAAGCACCAAAATACTGCATACTCGTTTTATCCGTGAATCTTTCCCTTAACGTAGATTGCACTGTGGGGGTGCTGAGTGAACGTTCACTCAGCACCCCCACCGATTTTCGGTATAAGGGGTGGAGCACTAAAATCGAGTTTGTAGCACTAAAATAGCACTAAAAAAGCACTAAATTATCCAATAGGTTTCATTCCATATTTCCGATGTGGGGGTGCCTACTGTACATACATTACTATAGGCGTAGTAAAGGTTTAGTTCGTATTAAATCATTGTTTACACTGAAAGTTTGATATAAAGTACACCTTCAGACCACGTACCAAGTGATTGGTTTATAAACTAAGGTAATTAAGAAACGGTGGAGTTTAAAAGTTAAAGAAGATACGTATTCCATTCCTACGGCTCCCGTAAACGTAAGCGATGTATATTGAGAGCAATCCAGTAATGGCCTCGGAGATCGATATTCAATAAACTCTGGCGGTACGTTCGGCATGTACTAGCAGTAAGCAATAGGCCAAATAGAGTCTGACGCAAGGTCTTATAAGTCCTTCCTCTTGCAGATGCGCTACGTCGAGACGCAAGTTACCGATGAAAGGGGAGAAAGGCAGAACTCAAATCAAGTTCCATTCAGGTATTTGAATTGAAATCCCAATCAAACCTGATTTTGCTGAAGCACCGATTGAATGAGATAATAGACAGAAGAGAGGGAAGAGAAGGATAGAAAGGCAGAGGACTCAAGGATGAACACAGACGACCGATATGCAAATTAATGATTAATGGAAATTCACGGTGCTGACGTATATAACATTCAAACCTATAGAATCATTACAGAATTTATGATCATAATCTTAAGTTTTATCAAGTCAAACTTTGTTTCCAAATGTGGTTTCTGATTTTTTTATTTTATTTAGTTAGTTGATGTAGAAAATAAAATGCGGACAAACATGATTCCGTAGGAAATAAGTAAGGTAACTTAGGGTAATAAGACCTATGTGGGTAACACGATCCATGCTGTTTTTTTTACTATGGAATAAAATTTCGGTGTGTAGTTTTATATAGTATGTAATTTTTCTCAGGGTAATGATTCAAATGATTCGGTGGACCCAGTTTGGAGAAATATTTTATAAACATCTTGACGGTTTGATATATACACATGTAAACCCTTTCATAGCACCTTAAGCGATCCTTGGGAGGCTAAAGTTCGCCAGAAGAACGATCGTATTTCTGCGGTACGTCACAATAGTCAGTTCATTTTCGCCAAGGAGTTGGCAGCAACTTTGCAAATGTCGAAAAAACAACAAGATGATAAATACGTGTCTTACCCAGTATTGACAATAATTCAGTATATGAACTGCGGAAACCTAAGCCGGGTAAGGTTAAGACAGGAATTTATTATCTTGTTTCGACATTTCGACATACTTACGTATCGGAATTAATTGAGAAAAAAGGTAATCGAAATATATAAAAAAAAATTGCCATTAAGTTACGAAGAATTTATCTGCAGGTGGATTCGCATTAACTGAACGAGACATTTCA